GCGCAATGTCGGCATGGCCATTTTCTGCAGCGATATGTAGCGGTGTCGAGCCGTTCTTGTTTTGCAAGTCGACAGCTGCACCGCGGTCGAGAAGGGTACGCGCAATGTCGGCGTGGCCATTTTGTGCAGCAATATGTAGCGGCGTCCAACTGTCCCGTGTCCACGTTCCAACAGCTGCACCGCGCTCGAGAAGAATACGCGCAATGTCGACGTGACCATTTTGCGCAGCAATATGTAGCGGTGTCGAGCCATCCTTGCTCTGCGAGTCGACAGCTGCACCGCCCTCGAGAAGGGTGCGCGCAATGTCGGCGTGGCCATTTTGTGCAGCAATATGTAGCGGTGTCCAGCCGTTCTTGTTTTGCAAGTCGACAGCTGCACCGCGCTCGAGAAGGGTACACACAATGTCGGCGTGGCCATTTTGTGCAGCAATATGTAGCGGCGTCCACCTGTCCCGTGTCCACGTGCCAACAGTTGCACCGCGCTCGAGAAGGATACGCGCAATGTCGACGTGACCATTTTCTGCAGCGATATGTAGCGGTGCCCAGCCGTTCTTGTTCTGTGAGCTGACAGCTGCACCGCGGTCGAGAAGGATACGCGCAATGTCGGCGTGGCCATTTTGTGCAGCGTTGTGTAGCGGTGTCCACCCGTCCTTGTCCTGCGAGTCGACAGCTGCGCCGCGGTCGAGAAGGGTACGCGCAATGTCGACGTGGCCATTTTTTCCAGCGATATGTAGCGGTGTACACTCGTCCAGTCCCCGCGCGTCGACAGCCGCGCCGTGGTCGAGAAGGGTCCGCGCGTTGTCGATCTGGCCATATTGTGCTGCAAAATGTAGTGGTGTCCGCCCGTCCTCTGCCTGTGCGTTGACAGATGCCCCGTATTCGAAAGGGGTATGCGCCATATACTTGTCGACATGCCCACTCCTGCCCATCGCCTCCTCGCCCCACAAATATATCACCCTCATATTGTCTTCTCCTAGTTTCAGCTCAACAAATTTCCTCTCCTCGTCCTCGTCCATGTGGATCACACCCCATTTGATCACCTCAACAGCTTTCTTGCCTTGCACATCCCGCTCCCCGACCACTTCAGCCGCAACCCAGCAATCCCGCCAGGGGGATCCGATGCCGATCAAGCGATACGGAACATCCGGGACAAGATATCCATGCACTTCGGTAGCGGTGACTTGCACGGTGATGGGCTCAGCGCGATTGTGGAAGTGCAGTCGGAACACTGGCGGTCCACTGATATTTCGGAAGGAGTCGTCGGATGAGGATAGAATGTAGCATGGCTCGGTGGCATATGTGGCATGGTAATACTGTCCGGGCTTATTTGTGTGAACTTGCTGAGGATCCACCAGCTGCAACTGCTCCGCGTCAAGTGTCCGATTTGGGAGCAGCAGCGCCGATGGGGACGCCGAGAGCCCCCGCCACGAGATCCAAAGTCCGAACGGTGCGTCGGATTCGTGCTGAAGGAAGAGAGACATCCTGGCCCATGAAGGCATGTGCTTGATGAGCAACATCCATGCGGACTCCAAGGAGGTTGACCGATCGTACAGCGGTAGCGTCGGGCATTGCAGGAGGTAAGCAAGATAGGATATCCTGTCAAGGTCTGTGGGGCAATTCCGACTCTTCACGGCCTGGATGACATCGGTTAATCGGTCCCAACGAGACATACTCGAGATGAGGTCATGCATGCGAGGAAAGAAGTTCGGGCTATGGGAGAGAGGTGCAGCAGTGAGTCCGCCAGGTAACCAGCTGTCCACGGTCTCCTGCACGGTAGACAGACAATTGAACCAGTGCCGGTCCGATTTGAGAACCGTCGCCGACGCATCAAACGGTAAGCCCAAGCCGTTGAAATATGTGATGCATGGTCTTCCGCGCGGGTGGGCTTGGTAAACATGACTGACCGTAGGTATGTCGAGCTCCCACTCTTCGAACCGAAGTTTCTCATTGTTCGCATTGCCCTCCTGCCGTAAACAGAGGACGTCGAGGAAGACATACTTGGCGCCCATGTTCAGCAGCTCGATGCGGATGTGGGCGAGAGATGTGCCGCGCGGGATCGAGACAGGCCATCGGCGCCCGTTGATCGCGGTTATGATGAGCTTGCGCTCTCCTTCGTCGACCCAGCTGTGTGACACCGTCCATAGGTCAGCAGGTAAGCAGCTAGAGTCTTCGTCGTCTTCCCAAGGCATCGCATAGAAGGGAAGGACTCGGTTGCTGTACAGGTCCCAGACACGTCGAGGAGGCATTCGAGAGTCCTGGATGGAATGATCGCGAACTGCATTTTCTCGCCTTCGCCGGTCCTCATCACGACGATCCTTCATCTTTGTGAGTATCGTGACAAAGCCCTCGGGCCACTGGTGGTTTGACCATTGTGAGCGTAGTGTGCCGTACACCTCCCCGAAATCACGTGAAGTGCTGACAGCATACTCTAAACAGCCACGAAGGCCGGGGGTTTCGAGCGGATAAGATGTACCGAGGACGTTGTTAAGTTTAGCGAGCAGATCGACAATTGGTAGGGGGCGACAAGGGATGTCTGCAAGCGAATTGGGTATCGCTCCTTGTCCAACGTGTACCCACTGCAGAGGGATGGTGGAGAGTGTGAGAGGCCGGAGAGTGTAACATTCTCCTCTACCTGACGAACGAAAGAATTCATGGGCAGATGCAGTTCCGAGCGACGAAGCCAGCTGAATCGACCCCCAAATGATGGCTCGATTGCTGTCGGCGGAAGAGCTCCCACATACGATCCGCCGGTTGGCAAACTCCGGGATGATTATCTGTGGGATGGTAGGACGATCGTTGCTGGGCATCCAGGGCGGGTTCATATTAGCCAGTAGTATGCGTGAGTCGGGCCTGTTCTGTACTGCGTAGAGTGTGTAATACTGGCCGTCATATGCGTCAGTCGTGTTAGCAACGGATGGTCATGCAAGTTACACGAACCGAAGGTGTCTCGAAGTCGCCGACCAATTTGAGCTCAGCCAGCTCGTTGTATGCCTATTGATACGAGATTGGAGTCAATCACACTTGGACTGCGAATGACAACATGACAATCACGTACCGCAATACAGTCGTATACTCTCGAGCTTCGACGTGCAGCCTCTTCTGCGGTACAATATACTATTCGCATCCGTCGCCTGCTGGCAGCTACGTGTGTCCCCAGCCGCTGGCCTTCGTCTTGATCGACCCGGATGACCGCCCATCTTGCGACTAAGAGTGCTTCCTCTTCATCTACAATCTGTTCTCCAACTACTTCGCCAACAACCCAGTGCTCCGCGTCTTCTCCGTGATTTATCAAGCAGTATGACATGCCGTCCAGAAGTATCCCATGTCTGCCGAGGATTGAGAGCTTGATAGACTCTCCTTGATATCCACAGGACATCTCAATTTCTTCCGCTCCAGCTTGAGCATCACCGCCTAATAGGATACGACATGATTCCGTGATATAGCCAGGATGGAAGTATACCCCCTGCGCATCAGTGTAGAGCTGACTGGGATCCACGAGCTTCAAGCTCCCATCCTCGGAGGTTCCCGCTGAAATGAGGGGTTGACTGGCGTGAGGGATCTTCGAAGAATGCAAGAATCTCTCCCATGATCCCCATAGACCAAATGGACTACACGGCGGATACTGTAGCGAGATTGACGTCCGTCGCTCCGCGTCCATGTGCTTGAGTAACAGGGTCCACGCGACCTCCGGGCTCACGTTCTCGTTGTAGATAGGTAGTGTGCGGCACTGGAAGATGTACGCAAGCCCAGCGATCCTGTCGAGCTCGTTGGTGCATGAGCGTTCGCGAAGAGTTTGGGCAAGGCCAGAACCGTCTCCACGGCTGTTGACCGCTGTCACGATACTGCGAAGACGGTCGAAGAACGCATGGGGATCTACGAGAGGTTTGCCAGATAAGCCTCCTGGAAGCCAGCTCAGCGGAGACTCCTGCAATGTCCAGACACGATTGAACCACTGTCGCGTTGAGCGCAGGATAATTGGTGAGGTGTCGAGGGGAAGACCGAGGCCATTGAAATAGATGACGCAGGGTGTTGAGGGACGGGAGTAGGTGTAGCCGATGGTGGGGACGTCGAGCTTCCATTCTTCTTGCCGTTGCATCTCGTCCTCGTCTCGTCCTCTCTGCCTCAAGCACAACACATCCAGCCACGCGTACTCGGCGTCCATGTTCAGTAGCTCTATGCGAACGTGGTCGAGGGTGGTCTCGCGTGGGATAGGGACAGGCCACTGTTGCCCGTTAATTTCCGTCGATACATAGACGTGTCTGTGGTCTTCCACCCAGCTATGCGACACGCACCAGACCTTGGATGGTATGTCTTCAGGTTTCGAGTCCGGATCTCGGGGGACGGCGTGAAGCGGGAGGACACGGTTGGAGTACAGATCCCACACACGACGGGGAGGAATATTGGAATTCTGAATGCAGGAGTCACGGATAGCGTTGTGGCGGATCGCTTCGAGCTCGTCTTTGCGGGCGGCTACCTTCTGCACGGCGTCGCGTAAGTTGCCGTACCACCAAGGGCGCAAGTATCCGTATAATTCGCCAAGGTCCCTCGACTGTTGTACAAAATATTGCAGGCAGTCATCGAGACCGGGAGTGTCCAAAGAGTAGCGGGTCTGAAAAATGTGGTTGAGGATGCAGAGAAGCTCCTCTCGATGTCCGCCGATACAAGATGCGTCCGCCAATTTATTCGGTATAGTGCCATGGCCGATATGCAGCCATTGAAGCGGAGCTTCAGAGCGTTCGGATGACCTAAGGATAAACGCTATGCGTTTGTCCATGTTTTGAGACTCGAATAGGGTCCTCTCGGAGACAAGCCCTGAATTCGCAAGTTGCACTGTGCCCCAGAGATTCAGGCGGTTCTCCTCTGAGGTTGTGTGAGAATCTCCATTTCCGTTGAAACGTCGCCCGAGCCCAGCAAGAATCACGGTTGCGTCGGCGGCGACAGTTTGCCAAGGAGGGCCTTCGCAAGGGACTACAATGGACGTCCCTTCCAGTTCGAAGCGCCAGCCCGCGTTCTCCATCTGCGAGAATATCAGCACACTAAGCGCGACGCGGCATTCGCACGAAACGTGCTTCCATTCCAAGGACTCACCGGCGCTAAATCGCTCGGGTTTAACGAATCCGAGTCGCCCGTTCCAATCTTCCCCGTCTCCGTCTAAGTGGGGTTGACCAAGTCATCGTGAGTCTATCATGCCATGAAGATGAGGGAAGCCGTTACAACGCACCGAATGATCCTCAGTCCCACCCAAGCCTACCATTCCCGCATCACCAGCGCCCGGTAAAATAAAGATAACCTGGCGGATGAACAGCATGGGTATTATGGTTATTCGAGTCACAGAGCGAGCCTACCAGAGAAACGAGCAACAGGCTTAGGCAACTTGAAGTAGCAATGGTTGTCCGACCTGTTATTGCAGCAGCAGCAATAGCGATAGAACAGACAAGCAGGCCGACCCACGTGTAATGAGAACGGCCGCCTATACCGCCGCCGCCGCCGCCGCCTCTATGTAGCGGCGGGACGCTAGGGTTGTCCACAGATGACATCCTTCTGCGTAATAGTTAGCCTCATGAGATGATAGCGCGAATGAGCATGGGTCGCCGTGGCCCATTGGCAGTCTGGCCAGCAAAGCCGAGGGCAACGCGGCATCGCAGAGTCGCGTGATGGTTGGGCCAGCATACTAGGGCGATGTCCAGATGCAAACGACGTACTTTGAGTAGTATCGTTGCGCCTTTCGTTCCCTCCGTGTGTCTTGCGTTCACAGCGTAGTTGTGGTCAAGAAATAGGGCGCGAATGCTGTGCAGCGAGAAGGGTCCTTACACGCCAGTGTTGGGCAGTCAATGACCGAGTCATCCCAGTCACGGTCATTGACTGACAGCTGGTCATTGATGGGTCAATGACCGAGTCACGGTCAATGACCGGGCGGTTTCATGGGTCCCGCGTGAGCAAGACGCCGGTATTGAGCGCTCGACGAAGCGGGAACCACGCTCGCACGAAGCAGTAGCAGCTATCGATAACGCACGGCCGTAGGGTACTATTAGAATATCGAGCCCTGCTGTGTACACACATACTACTAGTTTTTGATTAAAACCATTCTCTCCTGCTGCGCCTTTGGCCTTTCACCTGGGCAATCTCCATCTGGTCATGCACCCTAGTAACCCAGCCGGAGCAGTACCAAATCCCCCAAGCCGTCCGGGGGCTCATACTCGCGGATGGTGGCGAGGATTCTTCATAGACCACCCTCTGCTAGCCCAGAAGCATTCCGATGCTTTTAGCAACCCTGAGAAGAAGGATAAGCCGAAAGTGTGGTGCCGGAAGTGCTATGAGAAGCACATGAGAAGGGAGAAGGATGCAGACCAAGAGCAGGTCATGCAAGGGCTGCGGGATGAGCATAATGTACGCTCTGAAGAGGAGATAGCAGCACCAAGTGCGTATTGGGACTACTCTGGCCTTAGCACAAACTAACTACTGGCTCATATCTACTAGTGTGGGCCGGCAACACGCTGACAA